CCCCAAAACCCCAAAACCCCAAAACCCCAAAACCCCTATTTTTGTGAGTTGTGTTAATTTTAGCTGCCCAAAGAGGTCCTAGGTTGGTACCCATCTGGGAGATACTTCCAGAATTCATTGCTTCTGCTGATATGGAATGTATCGCTCTTCTCTTGAGAAACTTCTGACTCAGACTCCTCATGGGAGTTATATCTATTCGCTGAGTTACTCTTTCTCAAGAACTGTTGTTGGCTCTGTAAATTTAAATATTTTTGACCCATCGAGTGAGTGAATGGGTCTATATGGCTATGTGCTTTTGAGGGTACTAAATTCCTAGATTTTTGATCAAATTTATTTTCCAAATTTCTGTAACTTTGGCTCAGGAGATACTTATTTAGCCCTTAGTAGCTTGAAATCATCTTTCTCAAGGCCTTTCCTCTCGATGTAATTTTCTAATTTTTGTTTTGACTGGAGCCTTCTTTGGTGAACAAACTCTAGAAATAAGCTCGGGTTTACTTTTGACATTTGAACATTTGATAATTTTCTTAAGTTTATTTATTAGTAGCAGCTATATCAGCTCCTTTAGACTGCTTCTTAAGCCTTTTTGAGTCTAAAGATAGGTTAAGGAATTCATAGGAGCATACCTGTTGAGCCACCCTCTTCATAAAATTTCTAAATCTCAATAAAATGGCTTACTTGAGAAGTCTCTTGGGACTCAGAGCTCGACCCTAGTTTGCCCTTTAAGAGATATTTATGGAGGTTAAATAAGCTGATCAGAGCTTTCAGACTGAGATGCTGAAGCATGTAATTTTGGTTTCGAATCAGAAGAGTGTTTTACTCTTTGCTCATTATTCTACATTGATTAGATTATGCCAAGGGGATATTTACTATTTAAATTTTGAGTAATTCCTTTTGGGTAGGTTATTCCTTGAGGAATTATTCAAACCGATTTTGGGTTTCTTAGTGTTTTCTCCAAGTCTCTGAGATTGAGCGAAGTTTGACTTGAACCCAAATTCTCCAGTTTCCCTAGTAATTATGTTTCTTTCATTAGTATCGTCCTTGTCTGTCGAAATTGTTACTTCAGAAGTCATTATGGCGTTTTTCTTATTGTCCCAATACATTTTTTGAGTCTTCTTATTTTTGAGGTTTTGGAGGCAGATTCGACTTCAATGGCTCTGACTTGAGAGCAGATGCTGGTCTCTTGATGCTCCGGCTTGGAGAAAGGACTAACTCGGGTATATCATTTGTGGGGGCTGGCTCCTTTTTGGTTTTTAAAGTTTTAGTATCTTTAATAGCAATTTCTGCTTGATTCTGTGAAATCAACTTAATCATATTTTTATCAGAGGCTTTGTTTGCTGAAGACTGCATAGTGGCAGATTTCTTTGTCGGGCTTTCATAGTTAAATTCAAATTTAAATCCTTGTGTAGAAGGAGAAACAACAACAGGTTCATTGTTAGAAGGTACTTTTGGAATTGTCTTCTCACTACTGTCCGGTTTATCCTCTTCAAGTTTCTTCTTAGGCTCATCCTTTAGCTCTTCCTTCTGTTTATCCTAAAGTATTACAATCTTCTCACCTTAAATGAAAAGTCTCTAACATGTTTGCCGTTGTTGGAAGGGCTGAGATGGAAAGGATCAGAAATCTGTATTTTCTCCTTTGGGTCGATTTTAGGTGCCTCAACGGGTTTCATCTAAAGTTTATCGACGAGTTTACCATATCCAGCAACTTATTTAAATGAGGCATCTGATTATTTTCATCTTTATTTCTGTTGATAAAAATTATCCCCAATAGTGATCTTAGAACTCTTCTCAGAGTAATTGGTCGCATTAGTGGCTTTTCTTTGAAGAATGCCAGGTTTCAAATCAGGGTCCTTATAGTTTATAACCTTGAATGACTCTTTGGTCCGTTCTTTTGTGTTAGAAATCTCGTATTCACTATCCTCCATTCCTAGCATAATAGCTCCATCTATATTTTTCAAGGGGAAGAGTACCATGCTTCTTCTTAAAAATAGGCTTTTCCCAGTAGAAATCATCATATTCGATCTGTGGTTGAGCGGCAGTTGGCTTATTTCTGCTTCATTTTGATCAGCTTCTTTGAGGCTTGCTGCATCACATTCTATAATAAATCAGCATAAGTTTACGCTAGGGTTTTGATAATATTTCATACTTCTTTTCTGCTTAAAATCATCTAACATTTTGAAATAGTCCTTCTTTCCTTTATTTGGAACATGGAAGGTGGAGAGGTTGATGCCCTCTACAAGAGGTTTGTTCTCACCGCTATTCTTCTTCTGAAGGTTATTTAATATCCATCTTGACTAAATCAACCTCAGCATCATCAGGGTACATCTTCTCGATTAGGTCCAGCTGCTTCTGTCTATTTCTCTTTCTCATCTTCGATCAGTTTGACTTCATGGACTTGCTCCATGATAGGGTCATTGACTAAGTTTCTGTTGTACAGAAAATTACTGTAGACATTATTGAGAAGTAACTCATAAAGCATTGCTTTGTGAGTGTTGTGAGAATTCATGGTAAGCTTGTATCTCTCTTCCTTATAGAACCAGTTATAGTAGTTCCTCAGGTGAGCTATTAGCTTCTTGACAGAGATGTTCTCTTCTAATCCAAATTGCTTACGGAGTTCACCCTCATAATACTTCTTTTCATATAATAGTTGCTCATGAAGGATGTTCTTCTGCATATCGTGATTTCCTACAAAATGAGATGGAGCTTACTTCTTAGTGGTTTCAAGTCAAATGTGAGGGTTGGATCATGTAACTCTACACCTTCATTTGAGTTATTATCCCAGTCTATGGGATATGGAAAAAGATTATACCTCTCTTTCTCACTTTGAGTAGATAACTTTATGATTTTATTTAAGCTTATTCTTAGCGCTATCAGGAGGATCCAGGGTTTTATACTGCTGAACAAGCTGATCTCCTTTATAAGCCTTCTTATTATGAATCTTCTTGTCATAAGTTCTATTCTCAGCTAGCATTGCCTTATTCCGAGACTTTGATTGATTTCGATGATCTTTGATTGGTTTTATAACAGAATTTGGTATCTTTGCAGTAGAATTATAAAACTGAGGGAGTTCTAAATACCCAGAGTCACTAAGCTTCTCGCTTGTGCCTTTTGAATGGTCATTGTTATGATATTTCTTCATATTGCCAAGCTCTTTGAAATCTCTTGGAGCATAGCGTTTCTCCTCCAATCGATCTCTCTCAGGACTTGGTTTCTTGAGGATCCCTTTAGAAGGCTCATTACTCAAAGTAGGTGCTTTGATCTTATCATTCTTATGTTTTCGATTAGCAATTCTTTCTTCATAAGTCATATTCTTATTTTTCTTCTGTTTCTTCTCCAGAGGCTGATGTTTAGGCTGATTCCGAGCGAAGTGAGAATCAGGGTCGACTTTCTCGCCAAGTTTGAACCCAAAGTATTTCTCAAATTCTGAATCGTCTGAATTAATAATCATTGAGTCAGATTTTTCATTGGAACTCCTTGTATACTCTGAGTGATCCCTGAATATAGTAGTTCTACGATTTTTCTTGTCTAACTGAGAATCCTCTTGATTATTATGAGTGCCGAATACCTTTAGTTTAGGCCCAGATGTGTTTTGATTCAAAGGAGAGGCATCATGCACAGATTCTCCTACCTGAGAGTTTTGTTTTGATGGGGTTCCCCAGTGATGTTTGTTCCTTTTAGGTCTATATATAGCCATATGTCCTTACTTCTCCTTCTTAAATGCTAAAACTCCATTCCCTTTCTTCAAAAAGTTCTTCCTCTGTTCTGAATTTTGAGTGTTATTTTGAGATAAAGGTGAATTTAGAGCTCTGTGCTGTGATTCCTTTGCTCTTAAGACTTTTAGATTTACTTTCATTATCCTCTACTCAATTAGCTAACCCTAAGTACCGATATACTGGCCATCTGCCATCATCATTTGTCTGACTGCTTCTCTTTCCGAATCGTAAAAGTCTTGGTCTATCTCAGAGGTATTTCTGTAGTTCATTTCTTTTAATTTATCCTTTCTCTTAACGAAATTTGCGATATTCGAGGGAAGTATTTTCTTCATTGTACTCTATATTTAAGAAATTATTCAAGTGACCTCAAGAGTTCAGATTTGGGAAGAAATAAGTCACAGGTAGTTACACTAGTCTTTTTGGATTTCATGCTACTCAGTTTAGTCTTAACACTCCCTGTCTTGATCAAAGGCTTCTGCTCAGAGTCACTGAAAGGATTCCTAGTCGGGTCATAATCAGAAGCGCTTGGAATGTGGTATGAGCTTTCTTGCATTTTCTACAATTTTATATAATATTTAGGGGTTTTGGGGTTTTGGGGTTTTGGGGTTTTGGGGTTTTGGGGTT